TTGGTGCAGTCCCAAAGCTGGCTGTGTCTGGGATCTTGTCATGATCCTGGTTTGCCAAAGGCCCCCTGCTCTGACCACTTTTCCCTTGGCAGCTGGAGATGTGCAGGGTGTGTTCAGTAGCCACTGTCACCTGTTTATGGTAATCAAAGTGTTCAAATGGCTTCTGACACTATTGCTGCATTCCCTTTATATGAAGGGGGAATGTAGGAAACTGTGCCCGAAGCTTGGAATGGTTGGAGTCTCCAATATCAATAATTACATTTTAATAATACATTTATGATGTATTATATGGCTTCTGACACTATTGCTGCATTCCCTTTATATGAAGGGGGAATGTAGGAAACTGTGCCCGAAGCTTGGAATGGTTGGAGTCTGAATCTCTGGTGAAACAAGAACCTGATATCCAATTAATATCAATAATTACATTTTAATTATACATTTATAACAATTACAATTAATGCATTTATAATAATTACAATTAATATTTCAAGTTATGTGAACAATGAAATCCTATGTTTTTGTTAGAAATTTTGTGTCCCTTCACAAAATCATTCCTGCCAAGTCAAGCACATTAATGATTTTCAACTCCTTTTTCTTTACTTTTTCATTATTTGAGCAATAATTTTCTGGGATAAGCATAGGGGCAGGCAGGACTACCTGGTCACTTAAAAAAGGGTGTTAAATCTTCCTGGCACATTTATTAGTTATGAGCAGGAAAACTTTTATTATTAATGATTAATGGGGAAGGATTTAAAATATTGGAAAGGAGATGTTTTGTGTGCTGACAGGAGGCCAAGAAGAGAAATGGCCTTACTTATTTTGGGGGAAATTCTAACTACATGGCTTAAGTTGAGGGATCTGCAGGCTAACCAGGAATTCTTTGCCCTGTTAAGGACAGAAGGGCCAAGATACCACACAGGTGAGATTCTTTCTTGGGTTCCTGCTGTATCAGGAAGGGAAGAGTTGTAAAGTCCACAGCAAAGACTGCCCAGTGTCATTTTGGCCATGCAGAGGAGTTTCACCACTTGGCTCCCAGGGAATAGATTCTGTTGAGCTGTTGTAGGGAAAAATCTCTTATTTGGAAAAAGCTTGCAGGCTGACTGCTTATCCTGCCTTACTCCTGGTGATGCAGGAATGCTTTCCCTAGGTCAGCTGTCTGCAGAGTGCTGGGAACCTGCTGAAGTGGACACTCCCTGCTCATCTGACACCACCAGCTCCTGTCAATGGCACACCACAAAACACACACCTGTGAGTTCTCCCTCTGGTTCTTTTTAACAACTGCTGCCTTTTTGCTGTGATTCATACCTTTCTGGATTAATTTTTAATCCTTTTTTCCTTTCTGACTGGCTTTTAGTGGGGGTCATCCCACCCTTCTGCTGTGTTTACAGGGATTGTGCTCTCCTGACCTTTTTTCCCCCCCCTTACTAGTTTACTTGGAATCCTAGGATGTAATTGACATTGGTGAAATTAAGAAAAGTTTTTACATCGTTGGTGCTTCAGAGGAGTAGCAAGGTGGACGGTGATAATCTAGCTAAAGTAATGGTAAAACTGCAAAGATTTAAGGAGTAGCATCCTAAAAAAAGGCCACTTCTGTTTGCTTGGTTGTTACCTGGTTGGGTAAATGTTTAGGAAGAGGTGAAGTTTCTTACTGTGTTCAAAACCAAGGAAAGTTGAATCTTTAGTGTGGCCAACAGCTGCCTTTGATGTCCTAAAGTACCACAGCAGTGTAGAGATTCAGAAATTAGACTGATTTATATAAAAAAATAATCTGTTGTTGTTGTAACACATGTGCCTTCCTGTGGTGGTGTTCACAGGGGTCCCAGGACAAGGGAAGAGATGAGAATCTTGACTCCATGTATCAGAAGGCTGATTTATTATTTTATGATATATATTAAATTAAAAGAAAATGATATATTGAAACTATACTAAAAGAATAGAAGAAATGGATTAAGCAGAAGGCTTGCAAAGAATAGAAAGGAATGGAGTGATAATAAAATTTTATGACTGACCAGAGTCTGAGACAGCTGGACTGTGACTGGCCATTAATTAAAAACAACCACATGAGACCAATCACAGATGCACCTGTTGCATTCCACAGCAGCAGATAATCATTGCTTAAATTTCATTCCTGAAGCCTCTCAGCTTCTCAGGAGAAAAAATCCTAAGGAAAGGAATTTTCATAAAATATGTTTGTGACACCTTCCTATATTTAAGATACCTGCAGACCACTGGTACCTCTGTAGCTGTTGTCCATAAACATTTTGCAGCTTCCTGCATCAATGAAAAAACCAAATGTTTGTTGACTTTGGAGAAATCTGTGTCCTTAGTGGTCTGAGCTCAGCTTGGGAACTGCTGTCCCTGCAGCATTCCAGACTTACCCTCAGTGGCTGGAGCAGAGATCCAGGGGTACAGGTGGCAGCAGATCCATTTCCTGAGCTCTGCAGTGCAGCAGTGGCTGGGAGTTAAAAGGAGATATCCCATCCTGGTTCTGATATTGAATCTCAGAAGAAGATTTAGCCAAAGGCTAATTAAATCAGTGTCTGGTTCTTAATCCTAAAAAGAAAGAGCTGGTCAGATCAGTGTTATGTATTTATTTTTCTTTGTAGGCATATGAAGAATTGATGCTGAGGGTTCCTGTGGGGCACAGGGAGCACAGTTCCCTGGTGTGTGCCCTGACCCTGCTCACCACAGGGCTCTGCTCTGGCCTGATCCTGGCTGCTGCCTGCAAGTATGGACACTTCTCACAGTGACCTGGCTGAGTTCCCTCCAGCACAGCTAACTGCACATTGCACTGGGCTCCCGGGTGCATCCTGCTCTGCTGATATTTATATCTCAGGGGGTGCAATGTCCCATAATGGGTTATGGTTCCTTTGGCTCATCATGTTTACAAATGCCTTTCACAGCCCACAAGACATTTTGGGTGTGTTGTCAATATCCAAAGCAGATGGAAAGTAGGAAAAAGGCTCGAAAAGCTGAAAGCACTGCTGTGGGCAATGAGGCAACAATCAGGAGTGGGTTTGGGGCTTCTATTCCCTCCTCCTGGCCCAGAGCCTGCTTCTAATATAGTGCTGCCTCTCACAGAGGTGTTTGTATTTGTTTACTCAGGGATTGGTTATTAAGGGTATGAAAAACATTATTGAGTCATTAAAATTTCTGAATTTTAAGCTTATTGTGCTGATGGGTTATGTTTGAATTTGTGAAGAGACATTCTGTGCCTGCCTGGGGCATGTCAATAATCTCTCCCATCCTAATGACTCTGAGGGATTGGCTGCTCTTGGCCTAATTAGAATCACAGAGTCATTAAGGTTGGAAAAGCCCTCTAAGATCCTCGAGTCCAACCATTCCCCCAGTGCTGCCAAAGCCACTCCTAAGCCATGTCCCCAAGGGCCACATCCACAGGTCTGTGAAACCTCTCCAGGGATGGCCCTGGGTAGCTGTGCCAGGGCTGGACAACCCTTCCCAACAGAAACCTTTCCCAATATCCAACCTGAGCCTCCCCTGGCACACCTTGAGGCTGTTTCCTCCTGTCCTGTCCCTGTTTCCTGGGAGAAGAGCCCAACTCTCACCTGGCTCCACATCCTGTCAGGAGTTGTGGAGAGTGTGAAGGTTCCTCTGAGCCTCCTTTTCTCCAGACTGAACAATTGGTCTGAATTGAAAGAGTTTAGAAAATCTGAAGAAATGTCACCCTATTTCATGAGTGGAAAGAAACCTTTGAACGATGAAGGTGAAGCACAGGATAGTGACCAGAAGCAAATATTTAGAAGATGTACCTTCAGTCTCCAGGAGAGTTGATAAATAGAAGGAAATGGAGAGGAAATGTGCTAATGGAAAAGCAGAGAGGCTCTGGAGCAGCAGAGCTGGGGCACTGCCTGCAGCTGTCAGTAGGTGGCACTGGGAGCCCACGGGAACCCGTGTGGAGAACAGAGATTTTATTCCCCATTAACCTCGAGTGAATCAGTCAAAGCAGGGAATCTGGGTGAGTGTGTGTGTGAGGGGGTGAATGAAAATTCCTTTCATCCATGTCCTTTGGGCATCTTTCTCCCGCTGGAATTGAACAGACTGAATTCCTTGGGAAACCATCAAAGAGAGATTTGGGCTGTCCAACCCTGTCAGCCCTGGGATTAGCACTGTGTCACTTGTCTCCAAGTGGGATGTTTCATTCCCAGAGCTCAGTTTGTTCCTGTGCTCTGGAGGTTTGGAGCCTGACCCTTGGAATGGCAACATCCCAGATTGCCAGAAATGAAGGACAGGATTCCATTGCCTGTGTTTAAACACCAGTTGAAAATCACAGGTTGAATCCCTCAGCTAAATAAAAAACCTGGGGAAGGGGAATGGGAATGAAACAAAAAAATATTGCAGGTGGAAAAAATATGGAGGTAAAGTGTATATCAAGATTTCCATCAATCACCTTTTCAACTGAACCTAAGTAATTGATTCTGATTAATGTAAAATATGAGAGGAATGGCAGAGCTTCACTAGGGGTGGGTTTTATTGTAGCAAATATTTTTTGTTTTTAAACCCACTGCACTTGTATTATAAATACAGCAGACACATTTTCCCTTACAAGCTGTAAATAATCTGATAACCATAGCAGTGTTAATTACAAAGGAATTTGCCAGTGAATCTCTCTCTCAGAGCAGAAACTGCTGTCACTGAGACAGCACAGAATTTAGTAAATGTGCCCTGCAGGGGGATTCAAGTGCCAGCTCCAGAGGGATCATAGAGATCAGAGGAGGAGCTGTAAGTCCTGTGCAAAAATTCTGGCAGTTTTGCAGACAGGAATGAAGTTTCTTGGCAAGAAACCACCACAAGGAGGGTTGGACACAAACACCCCCATCCTTAATATGTGTAAAGAGGAAAGAAAAGGGGATGGGGCATTAAAGGTGTGTTGGGAATTAAGGCTTTTTGAATCACAAAGAAATGGGTATAAAAAAAACCAACAAAAAAGAAACAACAAAAAAAAAGTCAAAATAAATAACCTTCCTTGGGGAGGGAGACAGAAGGGAGGGAGGGGAGTCAGAATTCTGCAAATGGAGCTGGAGCTGAGAGGGGCTGGGTATAGGAGGCCAAGGCAGCACGGAGAGGTGAGGAGGGATGGGGAGCAAGGCCAGGGAAGGGTGAAGCCACAAACCTGCTGTGGCTTCTCCAGGGGTGAATTAGCAGTGGCTGGGCTGAGTCAGAAAGGAAAAGCAAACGTAGGAAGAGCAGTGAAAGCATGGCTGTGCCTGCAGGGGATTGGATGGGGTCATTTGGGAATGGTGTTCCTGGAAAATGGGCACATCTGCAGGGACAGGTTCTGTGGCTCTGCAGAGCTTCTCTGGAGAGTGAGGGAGCACACAGGTGGTGGCTGGAACCCCCAAGCTGGAAATTGGGATGTGCCTGGACCTGCAGGGAGGATTGGGGTGTGCGTGGATCCTTTCCCTGAGAGCTGGGGAAGGGGAGCTCCTGCTGCTGTCCTGCTCCTTGCACAAGGAAAATCTGATGTTGCTGCAAACCTGGGTGCACAGAGGAACTGAGATCCAGCCTGCAGGGCAGGTAGAAGCTTGGAGAAATCATGGAAGATTAAATGGACCACGGGAATTTTGGGGGAGAAGCCGTGAGGGCACATATGTGCTGTGTTCCTGCTGGATGTCTTGCAAGCTGCATTTCCAGCTGGAAGGGGCAGCACAGAGAGCTGTCTGTGTCCTGTTGCTGCCAGCACAGGTGGGACCCTGGGCCAGGTGGGCTCTGAGAAGGACCCCCAGGCTGGTGGCAGGAGGGATGGTTTGTTCTCAGCTGTATCCACACAGAAGATACAAAATGAGCCCCTTTCAGGTCAGGAGGGAGAGCTGAGCACAGAGGAGGAACAGGAACAGAGAAGCTGTGGCTGCCCCTGGATCCCTGGCAGTCCC